AACCAGAAACCGTCTAACATAATATTGTGCGACTATAGAACATTAGATGGCAAAAGTCAGTCACTTTTTTACGCATTCCCAACTATTCATTGATAAAAGTGTATTTGTTGTAAAGCCAAGGCCTTAATGATTCCATCTCTAAATCGGAGTGAGAGAACCGATTATGTTGCTGTAACATGGCAGCTAGCTCGTCATCATCAGCTAGCTGTATCTAGCTGTAATGAAAACATCCATGGGTGTATCAATCTTAATATGGAATTAGCCCCAAAAAAGGTCTCTACACAGATAAAAATTATCATCTACATTCAAGAAAAGCTTTACACTTGGAAGATTACATTTGTTTGAAATAAAGTAGGGTTTGCTTCAAATAATATTTCTCGATACAATAAGAAATTAAATATTAAGTGAAGTGTAGGCCTAATCTTGTATTTTAAGATTTATAATAATTAATCTGAGAATAAATTATTTCATTCGAGTCTAGAATTGTTAAATAATCCAAGAAAGCTTTTACGTTTATTGTAAGTATGATATGCGCTTTAAATCGACTATCGCGTACTTGATTCACTGTTATAAAAGGATTCGATTCAAAGCATTTAAATTTCACAGAACAAGAACTAAACCATTCTAATCAAAAATCTATGTAATTAACTAAAGATTAGCAAGTACAAATTCACTGCACGGTGTTGCCAGCTGTAACTTATTTTAAAATGCCAACCACTGCACTGATAGGTAGATATATGACTGGTACATGTTGAGATGTGATAGTTATTATTCGGAAGTCAGAGACACAACGCAATTATAGAGAATCTGGAAAATTGGCATTAGCACGTGTTCATCCTATTGTCCATTTTCTAACAAGTTTGCATCGTATGGTTAGGGTTGCGTTCTACTTTTTATTAGAAATTCTTTGTGATTCAATTAATAAGTGTATGAATAAATTAAATTGAAATGAAAGATTTGTTAGATGGATGGGGCCTCAGCGACCTGATACCAATATTTAAATGTAAGTATATTTAGTTCACTTCTTGTTAGGTATTATATTATATATAAGTAAATTTATAATCATAGGAACACGAAACAAACTAGAATAGAAGTTAAAAAATGTATGATGCTGAATGACGACTTTTTGGAAAGCGGACTTCTGCCTTGCTGCGACAAGAGGTCGTATCTACGAAAATTACGATTTCAAGATTCTTACAAATTTAATAAGCTTACATTTTATTATGACACAAAATAATAAAAGGCTACTTGCATTAGAAAATATTTATTATAATTATAAGAAAAGGTTAGTAAAATATGCAAAACTTATTTGCGGAAGTCTAAAAGGACGTAATTATCTACCTACCCACATTTACTAAAAATATTAATTTTGTAGATAGGACCTTTTAGCAGAACAAACTTTTATGTTCCATTTAGGTTTTGTAGTTATACATTTTTTTATATATTTTATGAAATATATCTGTTAATTACGTTTGGAGGAGAAATATCTTTAAATAAAAGTTACTTAAAATATTTTTATCTATAATTTTTGTTCCATACCAAATTTTCCTTAAATGGCCCGTATTCGAAAAATTTGACAAATTTAAAAAAATTAATTTTGTATAAAAATTATTCAAATAAAAGCTATTTATAATATAATTCTCTAGAATTTTTATTCTATATATAATTTCACTAAAATAAACCGTATTCGAGATATTTGAGAAAATATGTAAATTTCGAATTTTGAAGGCAACTCAAAAACGGATAAAGGAAAAAATAATTAATTTTAAACTTAAAGTTTTATTTCGGCCTAAGGTGACACGTTTAGATTTTGGACAAAGTCGGAAAATCTGGGGGTACTTTATAGGAGGTCGTTTTCATATTTTATGAAATATAACTGTTATTTATGTTTGGGGAAGAAAATTGTTTAAATAGAAGTTATTTCTAATATTATTATCTATAATTTTTTCTTCATGCCAAATTTTTCTGAAATGGTCCGTATTTGAGAAATTTGACAAAATGTACAAAATTCTGATTTTTAAGAAAATTGTTAAACTGTTTGCAAAATCGACCTCTATGATTTTTGTTTTTTACATGATTTTTCTAAAATGGACCTTAATGGAAAGATTGGAGGAAAAGTGTTAAATTTAAATTTTTCAGTATTTTCGTTTTCAATAAATATCTATAGAAAAATGTTCCGGGTATGTGGAAAATGTATATATTTTGTTTATCCTCTAAACATTTATAGAAGTGCTGCAATAGGTTGTACAAAATAACCGGAAAAATCCTTTAATAACTAGATAGGAAAGTCATGTGTTGGACACATCTACTGTCTTGCGAATCGTCCAGGATCCGTAAATAAGGTCGACCTTCACCCATCTGTTTAATGGATAAAAGTTTTTTTTATGAAATAAAATATGTTTTTAAATATACCGCTGACGGCCATTTTTTTACCTTCCTTTCTGTATACAGATAAGGAAAGTAATAGGAATCATGATAAAAGTTGCCTATGATGTCATTCTCTATTATTTTGTCCCTATACATGATTTCCCTAAAATGGACCTTATTCGAGATATTTGTGGAAAAGTGTAAATTTCGAATTTTTAAGATAACTCAAAAACGGATGAAGAGAAAAAAACCTAATTTTAAATGTAAGCTTTAATTCATCCTTCGGTGAGCTGATTAAAGTTTGGGCATAGTCTAAGCATCTGGGGAATACTTTACAGGGTGTCGTCTTTTTACTTTAGGAAAAAAAGTAGTATAGACCGTATTTTCTTAGGCAACTCATTTGCGGTATATTTATAAATATATTTTATTTAATAAAAAGAAACTTTAATCCATTAAACAGATGGGCGAAGGTCGACCTTACTTCGGATCTTAGACCAGAACTATATTCCACCAGCCCGGTCATGCTGTAATCCGTACCATATTACTTGTCCGATTATCAAGATTAGTCAAAAAGTTTAATTTACTTTTGAAACCTCTATGGATACGCCCATGGCAAAGCCCATTAGTAAAAGAAACCGCAGTGTACTAGTAAAATTATGGAATTTACCAGAAGCACCACAATCTAAACAAGTGTAAATTAAAAATTTAAAAAAACCGACTTCAAAAACGTGCAGATGCGATCACCACATCTTAACCAAATTTATATGGGATCACCCCTGAGGTACCCCCTTACTAACAAAAAAAGAATCATATAAATCGGACAAGGTGGTAAAGCATTATCGCTAAACATACATCAAAAATGAAGAGTTTGAGGATTTTCTCATGGACCCAATTTTTAGATTTTGACCAAATTTATATGGGACCACCTAACAAAAAAAGAATCATATAAATCGGACAAGATGGTAAAGCATTATCGCTAAACATACATCAAAAATGAAGAGTTTGAGGATTTTCTCATGGACCCAATTATTAGGTTTTGACTAAATTTATATGGGACAACCCCTGAAGTACCCCCTTTCTAACAAAAAAAGAATCATTGAAATCGGACACCGTGTTAAAGAATAATCGCTAAACATACATCAAAAATGAAGAGTTTGAGGATTTTCTCATGGACCCAATTATTAGATTTTGACTAAATTTATATGGGACCACCCCTGAAGTATCCCCTTTCTAACAAAAAAAGAATCATTGAAATCGGACACCGTGTTAAAGAATAATCGCTGAACATGCATAAAAAAAAAAAATATCGCGACGAATTGATAACCTCCTCCTTTTTTGAAGTCGGTTAAAAATGGTCGGTTCCTCGACATATATAATGGTAAAAGGACGTCTAGAGTTTTCGAAGAAAGTTATGGTGAATTCGAGAATTTATATGTTTGCCAAATTTTTATCTAAATAGGCTGTTTTGTCATCGATAACGTAGCTTTTGATTAATCTTTAGGGTGAAAAGTAGCTTGTTCACAAAACCATTCCGTCGACTTACTTGTATTTGCGCAATTCCTGCATAAATTCGATCTATTAATTCCTGGACAATAGTCACTAATATCACAGGCCTGTCACTCCCTATACTTCCCATGTTAAATTTCGGCTCAAATCTCAATGACCTCGGTACCTCTTCCCTATTGGTCTGGGGTATTTTTGACAAGTCTGGGGTCACCAATCAGCAAGTTGGTTGCTGACACATGAGAAAAATTACATCTAAAAGTAAAAAGTATTCAATTTTTAAGCCACTTGAAGACAAAATTAGTGTAATTATTACAAAATTTATATTTTTCTGGTTTTTAAAATAATTTTGACCTCGATGCCTCCTGCCTATTGGTGTGGAGTATTCTTGACAAGTCTGGCGTCACCAATCACAACATTAGTTGCTGTCACATGAGAAAAATTATATTTAGAAAATTGATTAGTATTTTTGCAGTTTTTCATTGCACAGACCTGCATGATTCGATAACAAATAAATGTTTAAACCAAAAAAAGAAATTATCAGAAAGCTAGGTTATATTAGATTAGATACATTTTACCCGCGTAAAATATTTTGAATTTTCAAGGTCACAGACTTTCAGATCGACTGACATTTAAGTGCGATCTCTTTTGTTAACTATACTCTTTGCTAATATGCTCGTTTTGGATAATCGTCATAACATCTTTTGATGGATTATTACTATTTCATTTCAGTATTTCTACTTTTTAACTCTTAATTTATCTCTAGTAGCCACAAATAAATTATTATATTTAGTTGAGATCCAAGATATGTAAAAAAACTCTTTTGCACTTTAAAAAGTATATTTATCTATTATCCATTCACCATTATTATTTTCTCTTCACCTCCCCTTATTTAAATTCTTATGTATCTAGTTCAACTGATCGTTTTAGAAATTCTAAATATATTATTTGATTTTTCAACTATCTTCAACTTTAAGAAGTTCCTTGTACCAACTTTACGTAATTTTGAAAAATGTTCGCTACATGTTTACCAAATTTATGACAGTAGTGGAAACTAGTCGCTCTTTTAATAAATCTAACCTAATAAAAGTCTATATGGTAAACTGCAAACCTTTCTTTCTTTGTTTCAGTGGAAAGCCCATGACGCAATTGTACTTTGTCTAGCATGGAGTCCAGTATCCGAATTGATCGTTTCTGGGGGAGAAGACTGCAAATACCGTGTATGGGACAGCCAAGGACGGCTGTTGTTCTCCAGCGGGTTTCATGGCAACCACATACAATCAGTTGCATGGTCTCCTACTGGTGATCTCTTTACCGTCGCCACTTACAACACCCTGAGGCTTTGCGACTGCCTAGGGGTAAGTACATTATTTTTGCTACTTGTTTTTTATTAGTTATGCCTTTTCATTCTTTATCTACTAGTGGTAATCTGATGCCATTTTGACTATTCTGATATCTGTCAATCTATTTATATGTGACTGTTTCATTATATTTTATAAAAGGGATTATGGTTTGCATGGTATGTACAGCGCTAATTCTTTTTAGTTAGGTTAATATTCTAATTTGTTTTGTGTGTTTTGTACTTAAAAACTTGGAATCTTTAACACTCTTCACTATAAGATTGAACTATTTAATAAAATTCTGAACTAAAGTCATCAATTAAGCCCTTAACCTCAAATTTTCGTTTGTCTCCATTTTCGTCAAGTTATTGGTGATATTATACTGATCCTATCATTGCTTTGTAGAATTTATATTTTGAGCCTTTACAAATAGGTATATTTGTTTTGGCATATAACATTAACTGGTTCTGTATTTTTATTAGTGGTCAAGATCCTTGGATAAACCTAACACGGGTTGTATCTACAAAATGGCATGGTCAGCAGACGGTACCCAACTGGCAGGAGCATGCGCAAATGGTCAAGTTCTCTTTGCCCACGTTGTGGAAAGGGAAGTGCAATACCAGAACTTTATGGCTTTGGTTAGCGAAAAAAAACTGGTTACCGTTAAGAATATCCTCGAAGAGACAGAAGAACATTTGGAGTTACCCGAAAGAGTAATTCAATTGGCGATGAGATATGAACACTTGGTACTTACCACTCCTTCTCAGTGCTACATTTATAATATCAACAATTGGAACACACCAGCCATATTCGATTTAAAGGATGGGTCGGTTATTCTATTATTACTAGCTGAAAAGTAAGTATTAAAAATTCACCTTGTTTGCCGAGTTTTTTCTTAGACAAATATACCGATCTGGTTCATTAATAAAAAATGTGTACTTATAGGCACATGTTATTGGTTGAAAAAAGCACTGCTAGTATTTACAACTACCAAGGAAGGCTGATTGCTTCTCCCCGTTGGCCAAATATGAGATTAGATCATATTAAAACGGCTCTAGTAGCACTATCGCCAGACACATTGGCTGTAAGAGATTCCGGTGATCCAAAAGGTAAGTAATTATTTACCAGACGTTAACCCAGGTTTGTATGAAGAATTATCTTTATTTATATAAATAATTTTAATCTTTATAATACCCGAGTGACCAGATACCCTAAAAAATAATATTTTTGGTATGATAAGGATTTTAATTAAATATTTCCATTCTATTAAAATTTTAACAATTTATGTAATTAGACCCAATCAGAAATAATACTTTACTTACGTCTTCAGCAAATAAATTCTACAGCTCTGTTAACAATAGCATTTTTTTAAATACAAATTCAGTCCGATCATGTAACGTTTATATTTTTTCCGTTTATTATTCGAATGTATTTACACAAAACTCTCAATTTATATATACTTAAATACTAATTTATAAATCAGCAGTATTAATTTATATGGACACTAACTTTACTCAACAAATTCTTTCTAGCAACTTTCCAACTAAAGACAAAGAATATACTGATATGGAAACACCCAGTATCCAAAAAATGAAATTTTGCCCGAGACTCTTACAAAGGATGGTTCGTTCTCTAAAAATTTCGCAAAAACAAATTCAAAAACCAAATTTAAGTAAAAATAAATTCTCAGTTTCTGTGATCTTCAGATCATTTTCTTATCTGCTTACCCCACACAGCTGCTTGATCTAATCTAACTGTTGTTGGTATCTGTCTGATTTGCTTAATTTAACTGGTGTTTATCACTGTAACTTTTCTTTGTTGCTTGGCTCTCACTCAGCTTCAATGCCTCCGCTTCCTCAGTCCCCTTTAGTTCTCTTTCATGTTGCTCGATTTACCCTTATCTTTCCATCAATTAAAATTTTCTTTGGCTTGTTTTACTTTATTTTCTTTTTTCCTCCAACCTAACAATAATCAATTAAAACTGTACAATAATCCTTCTGTATTATAATTAAATTCCTTGCTGCTAATCCAAAATTCCCTTCTGACAATCTCTAAAATGTTATGACCATTCCAAAAAAAATATAACCATAAAATATAACATAAATTTTGGATAGTTAATAAATTTTGATGAGGTCACATTTTTCCATATCAATATTTATATACAAAAATGTTACGCTGTAGACAACTCAAGCACTGTCCCGTAGTTTCTCGATACTTCTCGGCGGCTTTCCTTTACGAATCGACACGTAAGCTAGAAAGAACTTTCGGATATTTCTCGTAAAAGTCTGGTCTCTATCGGCTGAAGGCAGAGGAACACAGATAGATAGATCAACAGGGGTTTTTGTAGGTGACTTGTTTAACTGGATATGTCAATTAATCGGACAAGTGGAGCCTTAAGAGGTCCAAAATAAGACAGAAATGGAAACAAGAGATTAGAGCATGACCCGACTAGTCGAAAATGGCTCGCACGACAAGCTGTATTTATAATTAAAAAAGCTGTAGGTATTTTACTTTAAACAATGAGATTAAATATGCAATATGACCACGAATACTTGGAGCAGGTGTACCGATTACAGTTAAAACAGAAACGAGAAGAGAGCTTTCAAGAATACGAATTAGATATTGTCAAGATGGTCCGATTTGCCTACTCATTAGCTGCAGAATATATGATTGAAATGCAAACAACAATTCGTTTAGCTCATCACAAAACATTGGTCGGTGCCATGTCCGCTGCTCTTGAATTTGAAGCGGCTTCGCTGGCTTCTGGTGGATACAGTGAAGTAAGGACTGTAGAAGCGGAAGAAGAGAAAAATAAAACATGATATAAAACCCTAGTGACAAAACGACGAGGACTGGAATTGTGATGAAATGGGAAATGTACGCAGTTCGCCCAAACGCTATAGGATCACTGCAAATCAAAAAACCGTGCAGGCAGATGTAGAGGAGGGTATGGTGGTATCTGTTAGAAGTAAATTAATAAGTACATTAGCAAATACCTATCAAAAATGATTTTAAACGATCAGTGAGACTGGGATCAGTATCTTTCGCTCTTCGCAATGGCCTATAGATCCGCTGTCAATGAATCGACAGGACAAACACCAGCAAAAATCCTGTAAGGGCTTGAGATGAGACTACCGTGCCATCTCGAGTTTAAATGCTGACCAGGAGAAGACATCCGATGAAGAATATGTGATCCAGTTACGAAGAAAAATGGACGATATTTAAGAGTTGGTCCGCTCGCATTTTCAAATCGCCAGAGCGATAGGATGAAGAAACGGTACGATACTCAGGCCACAGTAGGATGTTTCAAGGAAAGCCACAAAGTCTGGCTTCATATCCCAAACAGACAGAATGGCTATTCTCCGAAGCTTCAAAGGTCTTCGGAAGGTCCGTACATCATCAAGAAAAAAATGAATCATGTCTTTTACCGTATAAAACGGTAAACCGAAGAAAGTGCATCGAAACCGGCTGGCGCTATTTGAAGGTAATCATGAAACACCTGACCTTGTCTTTAAAGAATTTATGAGTACATACGAAGGTACCTGGCAAACAAGATATGATTTTACAAGTGAGCAACAAAAAGATCTGCTCACGCTTCCAAAAGCCATACCAAGCAGCTGGATTGGAGTATCATTAGAAACATGGTGAAAATAATATTCCAAGATACCTGAATCCAAATATTGGTCTGCAGCCATTAGCTCAGTGTCCAGAGGTTATGGCGCAGACCTTTTCTTATTACTTGCATGGAACTGCAAATTGTAAAAGAGAATCAAGTTGTAGAAACATCCATTCAGTTGCAGAATGAACCATCTCTTAAAAAGTCCGGCCATGCTCTAGTCCCTTGTCTCGCTCTTCTTATTTTGGGCCTCTTATCCGATTAACTAAAAGTTGTCAGCTCCTAAAACACCTGTAAATCCGCCTGTTTCCCGCTACAGTCGGCAGGTCAACACATAGACTCCTACGGTAAATACTAGAAAACTCTAGCTCATGTACCCATTTGTAAAGGAAAGCCGTCGAGAAATATCGAGAAACTAGGGGACAGTACTTGAGTTGTCTAGATCATAACATTTTTGTATATAGATTCTTTGCCATTAGTTGGATAACTGATAAAAATAATTTGTTGACTAAAGTAATGTCTCGTACGACAAGCTTTTTAAAAGTGTTTAAAGCTATTTTAAAAAATTACAGGTTTTCTAAAAATACCTACAATTTTTCTAAAAATATCTGCATTTGGCTTAAAAATACCTTCAATTGTTTTAAAAATATCTATAGTTATTCTGCTGCAAACTGTTTTAGTGATTCATATTGTGGACTTATCGAATAACAGAACATCAAGTGATTCAACCCAAATCCAACATCCTACACCCGTAATTCAAATTTCTTTGGACCAATGGGGGGAAACACCGTCAAGAAATTTGGCTATTTTAGACAAAACAAGAGACTTGTTTTTAATTAACGTTAGATCTTCGAATAAGACATTCAGTAAATTGGGTAAAGTAAAACACGTTTTTGTTTAAAAGGGTTTACTCGAAACTCGATCATTTGCATTTTTAGGCAGAAAAATTGAGTCCTTCCAATGGAACGCTACCGACAACATTATGGCAGCGATTCAAGATACAAAACTGGTGGTCTGGTATTGTCCTACTGCCTGTTTTAATCCCAAGTTACTTAGGATGTGTTCTTTTCAATACGATTCTTCTGAACTAGGTAGTAGTCCTAGAATTAACGATTTTATTGGAAATGCTGTATCTGTGAGACGCGCTGATGGATCTCTTCTTAATGTACCCATATCGCCCTTCCCCAGTTTATTACATAAGTGAGTTTACTTGAGTACTTTGTATATTAAATTTTCAAAATATCTCTTCGCCACAGTAGTGTAATTTTGGAGGCACGGCACCAGGAAGTGAACTGTCAAACTACTTTCTATCGAGTTCTCTTGTTCAATGGATTTGAGACCTTTAGAGTTAAGGGAGCCTCTACAGATTAATCGCCGAAGACGAAGATGCCACATACGAGGAGGATAATTGAGATATTGAAGCACCCTAAGACGATGCGAGGGTGTAAAGGATTAAGGGTCTAAATAAAAGGAAGAACGGTGTGTATAAAAGAATATCTCCATATCCCAAACACCTCGTACGTTATTTAGTCGTTTCGGTTGTTAATTTCCAGAGGCTGCTTCAACGTCTTTCAACCGTGCAATATATTTTGACAACTCACTTCCTTGTCCCATGACTATGAATACTAAAGAGAATAAGTCAAATCGGCATACCCGAAATACCGTCCCAAAAAGCAAACGCTAAATAAGCTTCTACGATTTACCGCAGGGGCGCTGGTGTTACTAGGGATGTTAAAAATGCATATGGAAATTTTACATAGTTTCGTAAAAATTATAAAAATAAACTTGTTTATTGCAAAGTAAAGCACAGAAAATATTGTTGTATTGTTGTATTACTTTTAAATAAGTCTTGCATGTTTTAAGTGCATATAATTTTATCTACATAAAATGCAAATTAGATATGACCCAATTTGAAATGGTTTGTTAAATGGTGAAATTTGGTAATTACAATTTTGTGGCTAAATTATATTTAGATATAGTTTTAATAGCCAAATAAAATATACAAGTATAAAAGGAGATTCGGGAATGCTTTTGCCTCATCCTTTAATTTTGGCCATCTACTTTTTATTTTGTTAACAGTACCATCAGTTAAAATAATATTTGGAAATATCTTCTAAAAATCGTTGATTGCAACCTCTCTAGAAAGTGTTTTGTCAGCCCTGGGAATGATATGCTGCCACTGTCCTAAATGTTTGGGATCAAAAACATTTACAATGACAAAATTGGGGTTCAACAAAAAAATTATAGTAGTAACAATAAAACCTTCAGGGAATGAAGAAGGTTTATATGTGGGGACAACATCTAAAAATGGCAAAAGAGGTTAAATATCTTGGAATCACTCTTGATGACAAGCTTAGCTTCTGCAGCCATATAGAAAAAACAGAAAAAGCTGAAAGAATACTATGGGCCTGTAGACGGATGGTAGGAAACGTATAGGGGCTTAGACCGAGTATGATGCACTGGCTTTACAGTATGGTTGTAGTACCTGTTATAACTTACTCATCAGTCATATGGTGGCACAAGACTAAAAGCATAACAGCTAACAGAAAATTAGACAAGGTGCAAAGACTAGCCTGTCTAATAATAACAGGGGCATTTAGAACTACGCCCACAGCAGCAATGGAGCTACTGCTAGGTCTTCCTCCACTACACCTTGTGGTGGAGAAGGAAGCTATGGCGGCGGCATACAGGCTGTTTACTAATAGATTTGGATGGGAACTTTCGAGAAAAGGACACCACACAATGATATTAGAGAAATTAAAACAAAATCCGTTACTAAGAATACCATCGGATAGAACGCCCAATATTCACGACTTCAGGAAACCTTTCGATATTCAAATACCAGAAAGGGCCAAAAGCCGGGAAAATAGTGAAAAACAAAACGAATCAATCTGGTATACAGACGGTTCGAAAATGAAAAACAACACAGGAGCTGGGATCTACCATGTGAACTCAGGGAGGACAATTAGTTTGAACCTGGGGTCACTGACAACAGTTTTCCAGGCTGAAGTAACAGCAATAAATCCCTGCGCAGATAAGAGGATCTTTATCATGACAGACAGTCAGGCAGCCCTTAAAGCACTGAAAAGGGTAGAAGTACAATCTAAATCAATATTTGATTGCCAACTGTCCCTCCAAGCCCTGGCAGAACATAACAAGGTCACCCTTGAATGGGTGTCAGGACATGAGGGAGTGTTTGGAAACGAGAAAGCAGTCCTCCTAGCAAGGAAGGGAGTGGAAAAAACGTTTAATGGACCAGAACCCATGTGTGGTATCTCATACCAACATGTTAAATGGGTGTTAAAGGAACAAATAAATAGAGAACACCATAGGCTCTGGATGGAACTTCCTGGATTTAGACAGTCCAAAAGATTCATAGAGGGGCCATCCACGAACAGACAACATCAACTGCTAAACCTTAGCAGAAGTGAACTCAACGCCGTAATAGGACTCCTTACGGGACACTGCGGCCTTAGAAGACACCTAAATCTCTCAGGGATATCTGATGACTCCCTATGTAGAATATGTGAAGAGGAGGACGAAACTCCTATTCACATACTATGCCACTGTCGGAACCTTAAATATGAACGGGAATGGTACTTCGGGGTACAATATCCGGAACCTGAAGAAATCGCGAAAGCGCTCATCAGACATATTCTTGAATTCATCAAGAAAATCAATCTGATGGGATAGAAACTGTGAGGAGTACAATAAGCCTAGAGCTTCAGTACAAGTGGGCTTTGAACCACGCCCTAATTCAGATAGATAGAACAAAATTTTATTCTCTAGTAAGTTAAATGCACTGTGTAATTATTGATGTTTGTAATTGAGGATTTATGACTGTTAAATTTTATATTATAGAAATTTATAAAACTACACTCTCTAAAAGTTTTGACTAGTTTACAATAAATATTATATTTAGAAATAAATAAACTGTTTTACTTACACTAGGAGCTTTAATAAGACTTTAAATTGATTTTTCCTTGTGTTTTCTGTAGTTTTACATCTGATTTATATCCAAGACTTTTGGCTTCATTAACAATTTTGAGAGGCTTTCCATTTATTTCAATATTAACATTATTTAATATAGAGTTGCGTTTTATTTGAGAGCCAAAAATAACATTAGATTTACTACAATTATTATGTAAACAATGATCGGAGGCTAATTTAACAAACATTTATAAATCATTATTTACATGGGCACAAGCATTTACTACAGACTCAGGCTTAAAACTCAAATAAAGCTGTGTGCTATCTGCATATAAATGATTAGTACAAAACTTCACATTTTCCACCTGACATGAAGTGTAAATAGCAAACAGCAATAGACCCAGAATGGAACCTTGAGGTACACCGGATGTTAAACTCACATAATTAGATCTTTTATCATCAATCACTACCATCTGTTGGCGACCATGTAAATAGGAGCTAATTAGATCAACTGCATCTGTTAGGCCTATACAGCCAAGAATCGCCAGCAAAAGTTTGTAATTGACAGTGTCAAAGACCCTACTCAAGTCAAGCAGAACTAAAATTGTACATTGACTTAAATCTTGTGCTTTAATAATATCATCAACTATGTGAAGAAGAGCAGTAGTACAACTAAATCCTCGTCGGAATCCAGACTATGTAGTTGGTAATATAGAGTTAGCTTTAATGTATTCTTTGAGTTGAAATTTAATCGCTTTTTCTAAAATGTTTGAAAGTGTAGGTAAAATACTAATAGGTCTTGGGTCCTTGATCTTTGTAGGATTCGTTTTTTTAGGTAAAGCTTTAACAACAGCCTTTTTCCATACATCCGGAAATATTCTATTTAACAAACAGAAATTTATAATGTGTGTTATGTAGCAAATTACAGTTCATCAAATTTCTAGAGGCTTTCGACGGCTAGACAGAGAAAGCACTACTGACAGGCATCCCGACGGATTTACGCAATGAAAGTACACTCTGCGCATCAAGTATTTCACTATTTCATTTTGACGTAAATGTCAGATGTAAATTTCGCTAAAACATTTCTTTTATTTTCGTTTGTGTTTTTTGCTCATTACAGTTTAATAGAACCTAAGTATGGAGTTTAATAGCAAATTAAGAGGCCGCGAAATAATAGCCAATGTTATAGAGTTTATGAGAAGAGAAGGAAACTTTAATTCACCTTCAATACCATTTAAAAACGTAAATGATCGTGTTGCTGCAGCCACAGGAGTATCTAAAAACACTGTCGTCCGCATTTCTGGAGAGAAAAAAAGAATTGATAACCGTGAGATATCGGAATTTTCATCACCAAGAAAAACCATTAAAAAACCAAAAACAGTTAATGATATAGATGAAGCTGCACAAGAATCAAATTTTATTTTTTTATTATTAGATAGCTATTTTTGTTTCTGAGTTGTGTTCATTTACAGGCTCAATTTTTTTCCGTTTCTCCTTTTTGATTTTATATGGGGTTTCAAGTTGTTTTTGACTTATTTCGACGTAAATCACAACAACACACTTTTTTAATAAAGCAAACAAGTGTTAAGAGGTATATGTACGTGTAAACTACAATTACAAAAAATTGATATGAAACCCATGAAACCACCAACAAAAATGTAAAGCTAGCTTCCGTACTAGAACATGATGTCATTCGTCGAGATAATTTATCGTTTTGTTTAATAGATCAAGAAATGTAAATATTCCCCTGTTATTTTTTATAAAATTATAAGAGAAATAAATTTTTTTCTAAATAGTATAGTTTATTATTTTGTAGAAAAACAAAATTTCGAAAATTTTAGTAATGTTTCAGAAACAACCGTTATTAATAATAGGTACCATTTTCCTTAATAAGGTAGAAATAAAATATAAACTATTTCCACGATTTACAAAGGCCTACAAAAATATTATAGGTATTTTCCGCTATCCTATAAAATTTATATTTTCTGACTCAATTTCAAAAGGTTGAAGGAATTCCAAAACACCTTTTATGGCATAATAATTATTTTCAATTCTACATACTATCTTTAGCTGCTTTTAAAAACGTTCTAAGAAAGTCCAATCAGACCAATTTAATCCCTAAACTATTCCACACTTTTAAAATTTAATTACCTAAAAATATTAAAAACTATTTAAAATAACTTGTTTAGCAGACTGTACAATAGCTATCTTAGTCACACGTAGCGCGTTCTCTGTCTGGGCGTCGAACACCTCTAGAAATTTGATGAACTGTATGTACGGACAACAAAGCTTTATAAGATTAATGTTTAGTCCATCATGTCCTACCGCATTTGTCTTTACGTTTAATATTATTTCTGCGACAAATAAGTCATTAATTTCATGAAATTTAAACTCAGAATGGATTTATTTTATTTTTATTGTAAAATGCAAACAGATCACAAGGAGGATTTTTTATCGGAACGGAATTGACAAAAAAATCATTTATATCTATAGGATTTTTTAAACAATTAGGTAAATCAAAAATTTTATTTGGTATTCTTTTTGCAACTTTAAAGTTTTCTAAAAATGTTTAGATTGTTTTCTATTAAATTCAAATAACATTACAGCTTTTTTTTTCTTGTTATGGCCTGGTTTGTATAATTTCTCATGTCTTTATAAAATTGAAAATATCTATTATTTCCGATCTTGTTCTTTTATATTTTTTCATAACCTTATCTCTGATGTTCATCATTTCTTGTATAGTTTCTGTCAGCCAAAGGGCTTTTGGCTTACTCACTCTTACTGTTTTTAAAGGAACATGTCTATCGAATAAATTTGTCAAACAATTTATCATATAGTTTATTTTTTCGTCACCTCCTTCCTGATTATATATTTTATAAAATGGGGTCATATATATCTCTTCTAAAATTATCTTCATTAAAATATTTAAAACATCTACAAGTTACTAATTTAGGTCCTTGGTGTTCAAACATAATATTTAATTTACAAAGAGCAATATATTATTCACCTGAACAGCACACCGTTCTAGAACCCAATCATCCCTAACTACAATTCCATTCAAAAGTGTTTCAGTAGTAGCTGTGACCCTTGTTGGGTATTCATTATATGACACAAATCAAAACAATCTAGAATCGAACGAAATTTATCAACTAATGTTTTAATCAAAATCTAAAAAATCAATATTGAAATCACCTCCACAGATGATTTCATCAACGGAAGGATGTATTAACTAAGAACATTTTCAAAATTCTCAATAAATGCATTTGCATTATGTCCCGGTGGTCTATAAATACAGCCTATTGCAAGAGCTTTTTTGAAATTTTTATTTTTAACCATATTTGTTTACTATAATTACTGTTATTTCCTAAATGTTGTTGTCCACCCTGTATAGAATTATTCAAATATATAAGAACCCCAACTTCCCGCTTTTCACGATCAACACGGTACAATTTGTATCCCTCAATAAAAAGTAAATCGTCAAATATATCATTCCTAAGCCACGATTATATTGTTTAAAGATGGCATCATGGATCTAGCATTTAAAAACCCAATTTTTAAATATTTTAACATTTTTAAGTAAAATTAATTATTGAGCATAAAATAAAACGAAATCACACCTAATGAAAAGACTAACTAAAACAAAAACAAAAATTCTAAGCGATAAGGATTCGCCGTTAACAAACAACGCAATAACTGCACAAGTGCTGCTAGAAATAATCATAATTTACAAACAACATTAAAAAATAAATTAATTATTTTATATAGTTGTATTTTAGAAAAAAGCAGAAACAAAGAAACATTATCCCAAATAAAATAAAAAATAAGCAAAACATTTACTATATCTTATATAACCTGGAATGAAGTAAATCTTGCTTTGATGTTTGTTGTCACCTATGTTCTTCTAACCAGATACTCTTTTTTACATTATTTTGATTATTTTCACCAATTTTTGAAAAACACTTTATTTCACATTAACATAAGAAAATTAACGTCACTGTAACGTTCTACCCGTCAACTACAGTCAATTTGGCAAATTTTATAAAAAGAAAGACAGAAATTTGAAATGTGTCACTTCGCCTCCTTCTCTCTAGTCTTCATAACCATGACCCTGCTCCACTCAAATATTATACTACTTTTTTTATTACTTTAGGGCTGTATTGGACAACAGATGGACAGATGCTGTAAATATGTGTCGTACAGCCAATAACGAAACCTCTTGGGCTTGTCTTGCTGTTCTTGCTACCCAATCAAACTCGTTTACAATGGATATTGCAGAGGAGGCTTTCGCAAATATTAATCAGTACGATAAAGTGTTCTTTTTGGAACACATTAAGGTAAAAATACAAGTAAAATTATTCTGAAAATATATTTTTTCTACGATCACTATCCAAAGTAGACTTTTGCGCTTCGAAATACAACCGCAAAGTTAACATTTTCCACGAACTGCTATTAGTGACAGCTTAGAATATATATAGTCAGGAAGGAGGAATCCTAAACGACCTTATAATCGCGATGGGATCTAATTTTGACAGTTAACTAGACGAATATGGCAACAAGTGTTTCCGGTCTACCAGTGACGTACTGTCATAAAGGGGCGTAGAAAAGAAAATAATAAATTCTCATTTGCATATTGTGGCGACATCATAGCACCACATAGTATTACCTTTATGGTACCATTATAATATCACATATATATTATGATCTTGGTCGATAGCTGCGTACACTAGCACCCTACTTATCCGATGGATGGTAACCATGGAAAAAGAAAACAAAAAGATTGATGATTACTAATTTCGGAAAAAGACAAGACAAGACGTACCTCGACACAACAATTTTTATATAACGCTTTTCATATTTTAAAATAAAATTATCTTTTAATTACCGAGATTCTGATTTCCTGCTACTTACACATATTTTCTAATTTTAACGAATTGCTATTTTCTTGTGAGAAGTTAGCATTTTTTTTATTAACCATTATGTGAATAAATTTTACTTTAAAATTGCTTGTTGGGTGGGATAAATATAGGAATATATTTTTGGGATAAATTATAAAGGGATTTCATTTGAAAAATCAAAGCAATAATGTATTTAAAAAAAAATATTGACTTTTTACGTCTTTATTATGACAATGACTTTATTAATCTACATTTTACAAATTATTAAGGTTTGAAAAATAAAAATGTTTTGTAGATATGCGTTAAAAAAAAATTAAATATCCTATACTTATATTTAGGTCAAACACCGCTGTGATATTTCTTTCTTAGATGTTTTTGTTGAAGTACATATAAAACTTTCTAATATCGAGGAGAATTTCTAATCATTTTATTACATAATATTATTAGTAATATTTTTTGCAGGACAATTTTGCATAAGCAGGTAAAAAACCTTTCCAAGAAAGGATCCTATAACGTAATAATGATTCTATGAGTGTAAAATAGATTATTTTTAAATGTATAATCAACGCATTATTTGTATGCTTAGTCCAGTTATGATGATAGTCAATTTGTACTCCAAAGTATTTGATATCATTTGTAATACTTATATGAAATTACTGAACGTTACCTTTTATTGTTTCTATAGAAAGACGCCATCTTTTTGTAACTGTATAATGAAGCAACATAAGTTTTATCAAAGGTTTGTGTTTTTATAATTAAACCATTCGAAAATCTTTATAAGATCTGTTTCTATTAATAATTTTAATCAATTCCAGTTCTCTGCATTTTACAGAATAACTGTGTCGTCTGAAAAACTTACAATATTTCCATACCTGTGTCATGTTAGCTCCTAGCCAGCCAGCTCCAAAACCAGCCGGAGCTCAAAGCGCCAGCGGTCGAAAAATATTCTTTTACGACAATAATTATTCGATCTAAATTTTAGTTTAAAGATTACTACACCTTCAGAATAATGTTAATTATTTTCATTAAACCTTATAGAATTATATTAATGAATTAAAGGGATGAAATTTCAATATTTTTGGTGTTGAAAAATTTTTTTCTTTAATTTTATCAAACCAATCGATAGATAATACAAATACAAACAACTTTTCTTGATTCCATTTTGAATTCTATACATGAAATAAAGATTTTAGAGAGGGGTTGATATTTCATTATTTTTGGAGCTGGAAAAAATTTAGTTTTTTCTTTAATTTTATTACGCCAATCGATAGATAATACAAATACAAACAACTTTTCTTTATTCCATTTTGAATGCTATATATGAAATAAGGATTTTAGAGAGGGGTTGATATTTCATTATTTTTGGAGCTGGAAAAAATTTTGTTTTTCTTTAATTTTATTACGCCAATAAATAGATAATACAAATACAAACAACTTTTCTTTATTCCATTTTGAATGCTATATATGAAATAAGGATTTTAGAGAGGGGTTGATATTTCATTATTTTTGGAGCTGGAAAAAATTTTGTTTTTTCTTTAATTTTATTACGCCAATAAATAGATAATACAAATACAAACAACTTTTCTTTATTCCATTTTTAATGCTATATATGAAATAAGGATTTTAGAGAGGGATTGAACAACTTTTCTCCATAAAGAAAAGTTGTTTGTATTTGTATTATCTATTTATTGGCGTATTAAAATTAAAGAAAACACAAAAAATTTTCCAGCTCCAAAAATAATGAAATATCAACCCCTCTCTAAAATCCTTATTTCATATATAGCATTCAAAATGGAATAAAGAAAAGTTGTTCGTATTTGTATTATCTATTTAATGGCGTAATAAAATTAAAGAAAAAACAATATTTTCCAGCTCCAAAAATAATGAAATATCAACCCCTCTCTAAAATCCTTATTTCACATATAGCATTCAAAATGGAATAAAGAAAAGTTGTTTGTATTTGTATTATCTATTTATTGGCGTAATAAAATTAAAGAAAAAATAAAATTTTTTCCAGCTCCAAAAATTATGAAATATCAACCCCTCTCTAAAATCCTTATTTCATATATAGCATTCAAAATGGAATAAAGAAAAGTTGTTTGTATTTGTATTACTTATCTATTTATTGGCGTAATAAAATTAAAGAAAACAAAATATTTTCCAGCTCCAAAAATAATGAAATATCAACCCCTCTCTAAAATCCTTATTTCATGTATAGCTTTCAAAATGGAATAAATAAAAGTTGTTTGTTTTTATATTATCTATTTATTGGCGTAATAAAATTAAAGAAAAAACAAAATTTTTTCCAGCTCCAAAAAGAATGAAATATCAACCCCTCTCTAAAATCCTTATTTCATATATAGCATTCAAAATGGAATGAAGAAAAGTTGTTTGTATTTGTATTATCTATTTATTGGCGTAATAAAATTAAAGAAAAAACAAAATATTTTCCAGCTCCCAAAATAATGAAATATCAACCCCTCTCTAAAATCCTTATTTCATGTATAGCATTCAAAATGGTATTTAGAAAAGTTGTTTGTATTTGTATTATCTATTTTTTGGCGTAATAAAATTAAAGAAAAAACAAAATATTTTCCAGCTCCAAAAATAATGAAATATCAACCCCTCTCTAAAATCCTTATTTCATATATAGCATTCAAAATGGTATTTAGAAAAGTTGTTTGTATTTGTATTATCTATTTATTGGCGTAATAAAATAAAAGAAAAAAACAAAAAAATTTCCAGCTCCAAAAATAATGACATATCAACCCCTCTCTAAAATCCTTATTTCATATATAGCATTCAAAATGGAATAAAGAAAAGTTGTTCGTATTTGTATTATCTATTTAATGGCGTAATAAAATTAAAGAAAAAACAAAATTTTTTCCAGCTCCAAAAATAATGAAATATCAACCCCTCTCTAAAATCCTTATTTCATGTATAGCATTCAAAATGGAATAAAGAAAAGTTGTTTGTATTTGTATTATCTATTTATTGGCGTAATAAAATTAAAGAAAAAAACAAAATATTTTCCAGTTCCAAAAATAATGAAATATCAACCCCTCTATAAAATCCTTATTTCATATATAGAATTCAAAATGGAATAAAGAAAAGTTGTTTGTATTTGTATTATCTATTTATTGGCGTAATAAAATTAAAGAAAAAATAAAAATTTTTCCAGCTCCAAAAATAATGAAATATCAACCCCTCTCTAAAATCCTTATTTCATATATAGCATTCAAATTGGAATAAAGAAAAGTTGTTTGTATTTGTATTATCTATTTATTGGCGTAATAAAATTAAAGAAAAAACTAAATTTTTTCCAGCTCCAAAAAGAATGAAATATCAACCCCTCTCTAAAATCCTTATTTCATATATAGCATTCAAAATGGAATAAAGAAAAGTTGTTTGTATTTGTATTATCTATTTATTGGCGTAATAATATTAAAGAAAAAGTAAAAAACAAAATATTTTCCAGCTCCAAAAATAATGAAATATCAACCCCTCTCTAAAATCCCTATTTCATGTATAGCATTCAAAATGGTATTTAGAAAAGTTGTTTGTATTTGTATTATCTATTTTTTGGCGTAATAAAATTAAAGAAAACACAAAATATTTTCCAGCTACAAAAATAATGAAATATCAACCCCTCTCTAAAATCCTTATTTCATGTATAGCATTTAAAATAAAATAAAGAAAAGTTGTTTGTATGTGTATTATCTATTTATTGGCGTAATAAAATTAAAGAAAAAAAATATTTTCCAGCTCCAAAAATAATGAAATATCAACCCCTCTCTAAAATCCTTATTTCATATATAGCATTCAAAATGGAATAAAGAAAAGTTGTTTGTATTTGTATTATCTATCGATTGGCGTAATAAAATTAAAGAAAAAAACAAAATTTTTTCCAGCTCCAAAAATAATGAAATATCAACCCCTCTCTAAAATCTTTATTTCATGTATAGAGTTCAAAATAGAATCAAGAAAAGTTGTTTGTATTTTTTGTATTATCTATCGATTGGCTTGATAAAATTAAAGAAAAAAATTTTTCAGCACCAAAAATATTGAAATTTCATCCCTTTAAATCCTTAATATAATTCTATAAGAGTTAATGAAAATAATTAACATTATTCTGAAGGTGTAGTAATCTTTAAACTAAAATTTAGATCGAATAATTATTGTCGTAAAAGAATATTTTTCGACCGCTGGCGCTTTGAGCTCCGGCTGGTTTTGGAGCTGGCTGACTAGGAGCTAACATGACACAGGTTATTTCCATCTGTATTTAAATGACAAATTATTTAAAATTAAATTAAACAAGATGGGACCTAAAACAGTATCTTGAGGCATGCGATATGCTACTTATCTCCTTACTTGAGATATTATTAATTCTATTTGTGTTCGTTTTTGTAAATAATTTTGTAATAAATTATATACGGTGC